CCTCCGGTACCCACTCACCAGTCTTGCTGCCCTGTTTCCCTAGTATCCAGGACCCCGCACATGCACTGTGTCTGTGCTCTCGTGCGGATGGCTGGGGCTGAGTGTTCAGCAGTCCTGGGCTCCTTCTCCCTCCCGCTCAGACTCCTCTCCTCCAGCCAGGAGCTGGAGGGAGGGGCACTTGGGTCCCGTGGGGCTGGGGCTTGTATCTTACCCCCTTTGCAAGGTGCTGGGTTCTAGCAGGTGTGGATGTGGTCTGGATGTTGTCCTGTGTCCTCCGGTCTCTATTTTAGGAAGAGTTGTCTTTGTTATATTTTCATAGATATATGTGGTTTTGGGAGGAGATTTCCGCTGCTCTACTCATGCCGCCATCTTGGCTCCCTTGAATTTCCTTTTTTGGTTGTGTGTACATATTATGTTATATTAACGATATGATAAGTATATTATTTCCAGTGTTGGTACAATTCGTTTAGAAGTTATTTGTTTGAGCCTTCTCTAAAGTTAATGACCATCTTTTTTTAAATCAAGTACATAAGACCAAAGAGTGGACACTTTTGTTTTCTACAAAAAAGTCTTATTTGTGGGCATGGAATTTATTAAGTGTTAATTGCACATTTGGAGGTCACCTAGCCAAAAATAAGTACTTTTTAATTTAAAGGTATTCATCAGTGTAAAGGTATATTAACATTTTCTTTCCTGTGTTTGAATTTTTGAGTACTTCAACTCAGAAAATATTTTTCACATAATTTTTTGGTGGCTTGAAAATTTACATATGAAGTAACTGTTAACTATTGGGAGGAAATTTGAGCATAACGTACACTAGTGTTAATCTGTGTCTTTGGTGAAACCATTAACCCGTTATTGGAACCACTAAGAACCGTTTCTGAGAATTAGAGTACCTCATTCTAGAAGAAATATTTTCTGATAATATAGAGTTAAAGGTTGCAGACTAGTATTTCAGTTATGTATATTTCTGCTCATAAAGTTCTTTAACCGTTTCTAGTTACAAAACTGAATATTAGGTAAGACTGGGTTAATTCTGGGCTTAAAAAGTCAGCTTATCTTGTAAGAAAATAAGTGTTGCAAGAGCAGACAGCAGATTTTCCAGGTTATTTCACATTTCAACGTATAGTTTTCTGCAAAACCTTTTATGCCAACTTCTTTTAATTATCCAAAAAAATTGTATGATGTATTATTTGTTTTATAGTTGACAAACTGAGAAATAGTATTATCTAATGCTTAATCTTCCTTGCATGTGACAGGTACTGTGCTAAATATAACAACAGTATAAAATAGGTAGTATTGTCTTCATTTTACACATGAGGAAACTGATTCTTAGGCAATTTAGAGACTTTTCTAAGGACACCTTGACTCATATGGAAGAGCCAGAATTCAAACCCATTCATGTCTAACTGTAGAGGCTGAGGTTTTACCTGCTACGCAGAACTATTCTTTTCTTATAAATGTACTTTTGTTATTATTCTGACATAAAATAGCTTTTGAGGATTTAAATTTGTTTTATTGGTTTGAAAAATCATTTTAATATAGTTTTGATCACAGTTCTAGATTTTTAAACTGTTTTTCTTGTTCATTCAAGAAACTTCTGCAGCATCCAGAACTGAGTAATAGTCAACTTCTGGCAGATTTTCTCTCTCCCAATGGTGGAGAAACACAGTTTCTTGATAAGATACTACCAGATGTAAATCTTGGTAAGTCAATTTTAAGAATTACATAGAGGACAAACTGCAAAGAAAAGAATCAGTATTTTCAGATTAGTTTAGAAAAATAGTTTATATAGTGAAGCCATTGTCAAGCTCTAAAGGACTTCTTATACACTGTTAGTAGGAAAATAAATTGGAAAACCATTTAGAAAAATAGTTCGGTAAAGAACTGAATAACCCAGAAGTTCTTCTCTGAGATATATACTCTAGAGAATCTTGTATTCATATTTCAGAATGTTCATAGCAGCATTGTTTATAATAGCCAAAACTGGACCTAAAACAAGTATTCATCAGCAATAGGATGAACGGGTAAATTGTGGTAGACTCATAAAGTGAACACTTACTGAATCAAGTTCAATACAGACCAAGCTAATATAAGCTGGAAAAGTTTGAATAAAATTGTTAAAGAGACAAATGGAAGAAAAGCAGTATTTCTAAATATGTTTTATATAATGTATTCTTACATATATATAAAACTAACTAAATAAATATTACAAGTGGGCATTTGGCTTGCATCTGGATCTATCTAAATTAATACATTTAGTTGAATCAATATAATTTGGTGTGTGTGTGTCTTCTTATCAAGGAAAAATGTGAGGATATTTTACATTTGGTTATATATGGTGTTGAGGAGATAGAATTGGGTAAACCTGATTACTGCCTAGATTTGACTGAAAGAGAAGAAATACTCAAAGATGATCCAGGTTTCTTTTACACAACTGTGTGAATGCTGGTACTTGCTGAGATAGGGAGTTTAAGAGCAGTTCTGAACTTGTTGAGTTTATAGAATCCAGTTGGAGAAGTTTTATAAGACAGGAGACAGGCGTGGAGTAGAGATTAGAGAGTATGTGAAACCAGATGGAGGAAATAATTTGGTTAAGGAAGAGCATGTAGAAGACAGAAAGCACAGAATGAAGTGCTGTTATTTAAGGAAATTGGGAAATTCTAAGGAGGCAAGAGAAATTTATGGAGTTGCCAAAAGAGAAATAAAATAGCCTGGTGGGAGGGTGGGTAGTTTGCATGTCATGAGACAATCTCTATTTTTATTTTTCATTTTTATATCTTTGACTACCGCCATATACATCTTTTTTTCTCAATTGAACTGGAAGAAATTTAAGTTGTATTTATCAGTTTTGACTAATTTTTCAAGTCATTTCTGAATGCTTGAGAAAAATCTCAAGATGTTTGATATTTTATAATAAGGGAACCTGGAAATAAGATCAAGAAGAAATTTTAGCAGACAAGATTAGAATATACTTAATCTAAATTTAGAATATAAACTATTCAGATAGCCAATTTAAATTTTGTAGCAATTATTAAAACTTTTTTCTTTTGACTGACTTTTATTTTTTTTGGTATCATTAATCTAGCATTACCTGAGGAACATTATGTTTACTAGACTCCCCCCACTCTCCCCATCACCAAGTTCCCCCCACATACCCCATTACAGCCACTGTCCATCAGCGTAGTAAGTTGTTGTAGAATCACTACTTGTCTTCTCTGTGTTGTACAGCCCTCCCAGTACCCCCCCACCACATTATACATGCTTATCATAAGGCCCCCTTTCTTCCCCTCCCTGCCCTTATTCCTCCCTTCCCACCCATCCTCCCCAGTCCCTTTCCCTTTGGTAACTGTTAATCCATTCTTGGGTTCTGTGTGTCTGCTGCTGTTTTGCTCCTTCCATTTCTTCTTTGTTCTTATACTCCACAGATGAGTGAAATCATTTGGTACTTGTCTTTCTCTGCCTGGCTTATTTCACTGAGCATAATACCCTCTAGCTCCATCCATGTTGTTGCAAATGGAGGTCAAATGGTATTTCTATTTTGAGTTTTTTGAGGAACCTTCTTTTGACCGACTTTTGCATACTTTTAGATATCTTTATATATTTATTACCCTTGCTTAAAATCTTTCCAGAGTATTTCTTATGGAAAATTTAAAGAATACGTACAAGTAGAGAAATTTGTATAATTAATTCCTTACTCTATTTCAACAGTTATCAACTCTTGGCTTGTTCAGTCCTTTCCCCCACCTCCCACCCCACTGGATTATTTAAAAGTAAATCCCAAATATTGTATCTCTAAATATTTAAGAATACCATGTTTATATGGGGTATCATGATTAGTACGCATGGTGTGTGTGGGGTCACAGGGAAGACAGTGTAACACAGAGAAGACAAGTAGGGACTCTGTGGCATCTGACTACACTGGACAGTGACTGCAATGGGGTATGTGGGGAGACTCAATAATAAGAGTCAATCTAGTAACCACATCGTTTTTTTTGTGAAACCTTCATTAGAGTGTATATCAGTGATACCTTAATAAAAAATTTAAAAAAAATACCATGTTTATTGCAAATTTCTGTTAAGTATGACATGGTCATTTATAAATATTTTTTACGATTTTACTTTTTACTTGGCTGTTTAGTATTTAAAATTACCTAGTGAAGTATTCATATGAGCAGTAATGAACTGTGTTATGCCTTCGGAAAATTAATATTTTACTTTTAATTACAGGGAAAATTATAAAATCTGTTCCTGGGAAACTAATGAAAGAGGTGAATAACTGATTTATATTATTCTATAACATGGTAGTTATAAGCATATCAGTGAATTTGAATGGTTTATAATGTATTGAAAGCTATAATACTGATTTTCAATTTTCATACTGTGATCTCTGTGTCATCACAGAAAGGTCAGCATTTGGAAACTTTCATCATGAATTTCTTTAATTCTTGTGAATCTCCAAAGCCTAAACCAAGTAAACCAGAACTGACCATTCTCAGCCCCACTTCAGAAAACAACAAGAAGGTACTGCACATTGCCTTAAAGAGCCATTTTTTTAAGTTGTCCTACTTGAGATGACTTTTCCACTGTAGGAAGGATACTGTGTCAATGAAAGGGATAGAACTTGTTATTTCCTTTGAATGGAAGTTAGTCATACAGTGTAAGGACTGTATTGTATGTAGTTGCTTGGTTCTTTGCTTTAATGGAGTAAATGTTTCTTTAAATTTGGTGTTTGCAAACTTTTACCTCTCCTGTATTTGGGGGGATCTTTAAAAATGGTTTTCTTAAGTTGTAAATTGGCAACTTATAATCAAGGAACTAATTGCCATAATGCATGTATGTTTCATAGTATTACTTAATTTTAATGACTTATAAAATATTTCATCTGTTCATTAAAGAAATATTTTGTTGTGTGACTACTGTTGAGTGTTAGGCACTGGGAAAGTAAAGATATATTCCCTGTCTGCAAGAAGCTCAGTTAAGGGATAGATTAGTGCCCAGCATGGGGAGCTATGTGAGCTCAAAGGACAGGTTTCTCCCCCTTCAAAAAACCTTAATTGTTTTTTAGTATAAAAGGTATTTATTTTTCTCATTTCATTTATTATTGGAAAACAGAAGTACAGTTGATTTTTGTGTATTGATTTTTTAAATTCAGTAATCTTGCTAGAGTTATATTAATTTTAATAATATGTCTATTCTTTTGGATTTACACACTTATCTTCAAATGATGGCAGTTTTGTTTCATTCATGGTAAGGACCTATGTAAGATACAAGGGGAAAGATTTCAGTGTTTCACCATTAAATGACATAGTGTAGCTTTTTTCATAGATACCCTTTATGAGGTTAAGGAAGTTTACATCATGTTTATGAGTAGATATTGCGATTTAATGTTAATTCTCATTCTGTCCTAATCAGGTTTTGGTATCAAGGTTATATTAAGCTTTTCCTATTTACTGAGTTATGTATAGCGAGTTAAAATTGGAATTATTAGTTCTTTAAGTAATTGACAGAACTTGTTGGAAAAGTCATGTAGGCTTCAAGTTTTATTTGTGGGAATATTTTTTTTTAACAACAAAGTTTATTTCTTTAGTGATCGTAATATTCTTCAGGTTTTTTATTTTATGAGTCAGTTTTTGATAGGTTATATTTTTCAGTGAATTTTCTATTTTATCTAAATTTGAAAGTTTTTTGGCCTGAAGTTGTTAATAATATCCTTTCTTCTTTTCACTGACATCTGTAGCTATGTCTCCTTTTATTCCTGACATTGTGTCTGCTTTTTCTTTCTTGATTAATCGTGTCAAAGGTTATATATTCATTTGTTCCTCTTGGCATAAAAAAAGGGGTTCTGTATGGATAATGAATTATCTATAGTGTCTAAAATGAATCTAGACTTTTATATATTTTGGGTGGACCATTCATTTTTTTATTTGATTTTGGGCATATGTGTGGAATTTTGGAGGCAGATCTTAACCTATCTGATGATCTGTTTTGATGGGAAAAAGTTTACAAACCTTTTCTTTGTGTCACCATAGTCTTAGTGATTGTTATGAGCAGGTGTAATAAATTATGTATCTGTTTATTAATTCAGCTGTGACTTTAGCTTTTCAGTGATCTATTTAAGAATAATGCAAACCGTGCTGAGAATACAGAAAGAAAGCAAAATCAAAATTATTTTATGGAGATGATGACTGTAGAAGGTGTCTATGATTACCTGATGTACGTAGGTAAGATCTGTGTGGTTACTGCTAAAAACCTATTTTTCATCGACATATTATTTCTTCTGTGATGGAAATTAATGCTCCTGATTATTGAACTTTAGTAACTTTTTTAAATTGAAAATTTTACTTACATAAGATTTCAACATAACTGGTCTTGAACATGTTAAAGTCACTAGTGTTTACAAATAAAATAATGACTTTTTTTTTTACATTGGAAAATGTTCAAAATACCTATTCATTTTAACAACTAAGAATTTCATATGGTCTTACCTCTTAGGACGGGTGGTTTTCCAAGTTCCTGACTGGCTTCATCATCTCTTAATGGGAACACGAATTCTCTTTAAAAACACCCTGGAAATGTACACGGATTACTATCTTCATTGTAAGCTAGAACAGCTATTTCAGGAGCACCGTTTGGTCTCACTCATAACACTTCTCAGAGGTTCGTATTTTTTCATGTGTTTGTTTATGTTCTGTATACTCTTAAAGATTTTAATTGGATCTAAAAGAGTAAGAAGTCTTGTTTTTATTTGGTTTATTAATATTTCTACTATGAGGAAATACTCTGTGTATATAGTAAGTGAAAATTCCAGTGGATATTTTTGTCTTTTTAGATGCTGTATTCTGTGAAAACACTGAACCTCGCTCTCTCCAAGATAAGCAAAAACGAGCTAAACGGACTTTTGAAGAAATGATGAATTACATCCCAGGTGTAATATTAAGAAATAGTTTAATTAGCACTCCTATGAGGTCACAATGTATAGTAATTATTGAGGCTAGTATCTACTCTGGGTTTTCATTTTAGAAATAGTTAAAAGGACCAATTAAAAAAACACATTAGTTAAATAAAATTTGCTTTTTATGACATTAGTACTAAAAAATTTAAGACAGGGCTATTCTCACACAATAGCCAGATTCTTTCAACAATTATTTATAGTCAGAATGATCATCAAAGTGATATGTTTATGGGACAGTTGGAGTCCTGTTGGCCCACTTACACTGTCACTGTAAGAGCTGCACTAGTGTGTATGACTAAAAGATCAGAATTCATTTTTTCATTCCAAATTTATTGAACATTTTCCATGTGCGAGGCACTATGCAGATTTTTAAAAAAAGAGATATAAAAAGTTTATTGGGTAGCTCAGTCTCCTGTAGCAAGAAAACAGGCAGAAAAACATGCATGTGATAATAAGGGCATGTTGAAGTTACAGAGTATCTTGGAGGAGGATGGTCACCTCTCCTGTAAAGGAGGTAGGCTTGTGTCACTAAGTAAATGAGAAGTAGTAACCTCTTACTGACATGGGAAATCCAAGAAAATATCAGAGTGAAAGTGCCTACCCATTATTCAGGAGGAAATGTCAAGTATGCAGTGTGATCTCCAGGTTTGGAGTTGGAGGAATGATGGTCCAGGATAGAGAAACGGGAGTCATGTGTGAGTGGATAATAATGCCCAGGGAGAAAATAGTAAGAATTGAAGAGGGCTTTGGACTGTCCTTTAGAGAATTCTTATCATTGAAAAATAGTCTCAGAATAGTCCTGCTGCTCTGTATGAAGATAGTTAAATTAAATCCATGGTGTGAATGTAAAAGTGGACAAAAGCTTTTTTGGCATAGTCTTCTGTAGTTAAATGATGAGATAATTTGCCTGTTTTGTAATACAGTGACCCTTAGCATTCATGGTTTTAGCAGGCTTTGTTTTGATATTCAGGGATGATGTGGAAAGCCAGTGAATGCAATAATTTGTTATTTTGCTGAGGTATGAATTTGAATCATATCTATTTCACGACTTCCATTTGGGAAGGAGTAATTTAGCTAGTGAGTAAGATTGGCATATTTTTCTGTATTCCTCTACTCCTCATTTCTTTCTTAGTGACCCTTGAAGGATCTGAAAGGATCATTTACTTTTGTCCATTTTGCTTCACACATATTAATTGGGAAATTCTACGTAGTATTGGTGAATTAAAAGATTGACAAAGATCCATGTTGTGCCACATGTCTTGAAAATATGAAGGATCTGCTACTCTTACTGTAAATTGATTTTGCCCTTTGCCTGTTAGGGTTAGATTTACCTCATAGAGGCAAACATATAAAGTGAGAATTTTCCATGAACAGCATTATGAGTTTCATTATAACTGAGGAGAAAGGACAAATATATGAGCACCTTGTTTACTTAAGAATAATTTTATTTTCCTCTTGGGGAAAAAACATTCAGCAGAGATTTTTAATAAGGATTGACTCTTTTTAGTAACAGCTGTGTTATATGACAGCTGTGCAGTCATACATGAATCAGAGCTTTTTGACCCAATATTACTGTTTAAACATTTCCCAAAAGGATTGTTCTGAGAGGTGGTTAATAATAATTATGCAAAAAGTACAGAAATAAATTAAAGTGGACATATTGAGGAAAGTCTATGTTAAAAATTAAACTTTTAAAAAATAATTAAGGTATTTAGACATGAAGATATATAGAGTAAAAGGTAGAAGCATTCTCTCCCTACTGTGCAGAAATAGCCATGTGCTCTAGTTTGGTGTTAATCCTCACAGGATTTTTCTGTGTATTTCTGTATGTGTATGTGTAAATGTACATACATAATTTTAGGATTTTATTTGTCTTACTCCAATGGGATACCACAGGAAGTGTTATTTTCTGACTATCTTTTATCACTTAAGAGTATAAGCAGATTTCTTCACTGCAACATCCCTCAGAGCTTGCATATGCTTTTTGCACTGTGACTCTTCATAAGGAGGACATAGGATATTGCATTTCTCAACTTGACCATAGCACCCTTTTTTTCCCTAGGAGACTCTAGCAGAAACACTGGAAGAGAAAAATACTAATGTGCAGTTTTTGCATAATATCTGGGAAACGGGGTGGAGATTTTGCTTTATGATCCAGTTAATGATGAGTCTTTTATGATATAAAATTGTTGCACGTTTGATTTTCTTGTTTAGATCTGATAGTCAAGTGTATTGGTGAAGAAGCCAAGTATGAAAGCATCAGACTTCTATTTGATGGCTTACAGCAGCCAATTCTCAACAAGCAGGTCAAAAAATTTTTTTATTAAGATATTATTGATATACACTTTTATGAAGGTTTCACATAAAAACAATGTGGTTACTGCATTCACCCATATTATCGAGTTCCCACACACACACACACACACCATTACAGTCACTGTCCATCAGTATAGTGAGAAGCACGTAAAATTTATTAAACAGGTTTACTGGTATTGACCAGGTTTGGTGAGTGAGACAGTGGGGTGTCTGGCATATTTTTAACTGTGAAGTAATACTGTACTGATTTGCCTTAATGCAGTTAAAGCATTGAGATAAGACAAGTTTTATTTGTGTTTCTTTTTTGATGATTACCTTCTTTCTTTTACAAGTTTTTACTTAAAATAAATATATTCATTGTAGAAATTTTGTAATATACAGAAAATTCATGAAATAAAGATTTTTTAAATTGAGAATTCCATTCAGATTGCATAAAATAACTACAGTTAACATTATGTAGTCTATATGTTGAGAGCTTGATATAGTTACAATTTTATATCCTTCTTGTTTCTTTAATATTTTTATTACATAAAAAATATTTAACATAAAATTATAAGGCATAATAAAATGTCCACATATGAACTTGTGTGTATCTAACACTCATCTTAAAAGTAGAACATTATTGATACTATTGAAGCTACTTTTGTGCTTGTTTTAAATTGTCAGTTTTATTTCCTTCCCATTTAGAGGTTAACCTCAGTGTTAAATTCTGTTTATCAAAGTTTATGTTTTTTTTGGTCTAATGACTTAAAATATTTGTTTCTTTTTTTGGTGCTTTAGCTGACTTATGTTTTATTGGACATTGTGATACAAGAACTATTTCCGGAGCTCAATAAGGTAACCAACTGAAAAACAGCCATTTTATTCTTTGTTTTTAATGGTGTGTTCACATTTATTTTAATTTATTTTTAATTTGTTATTTTAATTTATTTATTAGGGACACAAAAATTAAGGGAACCCTTGTTACTGTGTTCCTTTTAAAAATGAACAACCTTAACAAATGGTTCTTTTTATTTTCTTTATTTAGCATACTCAAGCATAGAATGGATTTTGGGGAATAGGAACTAAATAGCCTCTGCTTTGGCTTCATCCATTCCTGATTACAGTCAGATAGGGACATTATATACCCTGTAGAACCTTTTCAGAGGAAGGTGTGACTTTAAGTCCTAGCACTAGAATGTGCCAAACTCTTCAGGTTGTCATATGTAACACTGAATGCTGTGTAAGTCCGACTTGAATATTTTTGAAGCAGTTGAGTTTATATGAACCCAAGGGCCCAAAGTGAATTGGAATTAGAGGATGGTAATATTATTATTATATTGAATCTTAAGATTTTGAGTTTTGAGCAAAGATTTAAATCATTTTTTTGCTGTTTATTTTTGACTAATCCCTTTGGTCAGATGAAATAACTATGTAAGGTTATAGCATAGCAATGAAATGTCAGTTTTGTAGCATAGCGGACACCAAATTTTGATATTTTACCTATTAACTTCAAGCTTTCAAGTTATAGTAATATTAAATGTATATTAAAACATGGTAGCCATGATGGATATTTTATAGTATCAGGAAGCCTTCAGTTTTCTGTTGAAAATTTTGCAAGGTCTACCACTATACTTTGTATTTTTCTTATCTCTAAAACATAAATATTACCTGTTTTATGTACTGGCTAATATCTTTTGTGTGTATGTGTATGTCTATGTCTTAGCTTAGAATTAATACACTGGAACTATTAGGCACTTCACAAATGAGCCTTATTTCATTGTCTGCTATTAAATAGATTTATTTTTACTTCAGGTACAAAAGGAAGTTACCTCTGTGACATCCTGGATGTAAACATTTGGATTTGGGATAGAATAACCAGCTGTAATTTCTGCTTTGCTAGTGTAGTATATATGTACTTATTTCTTTTACTTTTGTATAGTCTTGTACATATCATGTAATTCTATGTCTGAAATTATGATTTTTTTTGTTTTAATAAAGACTAACACAAACTTAATAATGATTAAAAGTGATTGGGTTTCATAGCCTTTCATTTTATTAGGACATATATCATTCGTTAACTGTTTTTTTAAGAGATAATCCATAATCCCCTTTGGGCAAATAGATAAGACTGATAACCTTTTTATTTATATCACTTAGAAAATAGTTATGGTTAGTGTGGAAAAACAGCAGTAAGATCTGATTTGCTTTCATATTTAGAGTTAATACATTTTAGTAGAATTTTACCCCTTACCCCCTTTTTCATTTTCTATGTAGTTAACTGTGCATCTATAAAGAAGGCATTGTTCATCAGTTTTTCATAACGAACAAGGGACTTCTTATTTTTGCTGGATTATTGATAGGTTATAGTCCTTTTGGGTATGAAAACGAGTACAGATATTTGTGATTGTTCAGTTGCAACTACATTTTACTGAATGTATGTAACTATATTTCAAAAGCATACATAAACAGTTTAGTCAACTTGATTTTTGGTTTGTGTTGTCTGTTGTTTCTCCAAAAGAAAAATATGGAATGAACTCTCTTCCTTAAAGAAAGTAAATTTAAATGGCTGTTTTTAAAGATTGAATGTTTAGAATTCTACATACAGTTCCTTGCCATATTGTGCTTTTCTCCTTGAAACAAGTATGGCTTTGAGGACTCAACATTTTGTTTGACTTTCGGAGTGTTCATTCAGAATACAGTTATGAGTTTCAACCGTGTATTAGGCACTAAGCTGGGTAATGGAGCTCTTAATACAGTTTGGAAAACTAACCCATTTAGTGATGCTGTTCACTTACTTTTTTGCAAGGTTTTAAAAAGTCCTTGGGTGTTTTAGAAGGTTTTTTTAGTAGTTCTATTTTTAATTACTTGAAAATTCTAGAATATGTATAAGTTTCTACAAATCAGTGCTTTAATACTAAGCCCTAAAAATTTACTAGTTTCTTAGGGACAGGTAGGAAATTAACAGGGCTAACTCTTCACATTTAAATCCATAGCATCTTGAACATTATTATTTAAAATGTCATGGTGGACTGGAAAAATAAAGTATTTTACAGCCTTTTTAATGCCATCTGACCTAATTGGGGGGATAAAATGAAATTAGATAGAAAGACACTTTGAAATTTACAAGGGACATTATATGATTGTGTTATAAGTACAATAGTTTCAGATACCAGAAGATTCTGAGAAATGGTTGAAGGCAAGCACCTAAATTATCATTTATTGACTTAGTAAAAATCATTAGATTTTATAATAGAAGTTATAAACAGAAGTCTGATTTGCCACAGTTCTTAGCAGACTTATATAATGATATATACAGAAGTTGTAATTTCAGATATTGTCAACATTAGAATAAAAATGACTGATTCAGTGAATGCATGAGCAGATGAGTTAGGTTTTGCTAGTACACTATACTTCCATTTCAAAGAATATGCTCTTTGTTGCGTATTCAGTAATCTCTTCAACAGCGCTGGGTACACAGAGGAGAAATCTTTAACCTGAGACTTTTGGACCTCTGGAAGATGGTTATTGTTAAGTCCAGTGGGAAACAGTTTTTTTATTTCACTATTGTTTTGTTAATATTCATGATTTTTTTTCTGTCAAATTATATTAAAGTATTATTTTTCCCCAGGTAATGGATTTGGCTGTCAGGCTGTAGTTTGCTAATCCTTGATGTAGAAAAACAAAAGAGGCAAGTGAAAAGAGACACTGTTAGGAAAATTGTAATCTTCTCCATAATAGGAAGCGGGGAGGAGAGGATATACAAGTTAATTTTTGGAGAAAGGCAGCTATCCTTGGGGAAAACTTAATTGGCCTTTTGGCAGCAGAGGGGTTATAGTTAAGGAATCAAACTGTTCTGCTTAATGAAAGGGTATTTTCTTTAGGGAGAGAAATTATTTTCTTAACTGAGTATTTTCTCCAGAGGGGTGATGTTGGAGAAAAGGATTTTATGGCTTTTGGACTGAGTGAGAAAGGTGGCAGAGATGGGAAGGAATTATGCATTTTTATTCAATTTATTCAACAAATATATATTGAGCACTCACTATGTGCCCAAGCAGTTTTAGAAGCTAGGGATGTATTTGCATTTATAAGCTTGCATTCAAACTGAGGGAGACAGACAGTAAACAAAATAAATAAGAAAATAGTATTTCTAACATGTTAGAAAGTAGTGTAAGTACTCATAAGAAAGAAAAATTGAGAGGGGAAATAGAGTGGTATGTGTGGAGGGTTGCAGTTTGAAATAGTGTAGTCTGGGATATTGAAGAAAAGACCTGAGGAGGTGAAGAAATTGGGCCATGCAGATATTTGGGGGCTTATGTTCCACATATAGAGAAATAGCAAGCACAAAGGGTTGAGTGGGAGTGTGCCTGTTTTGTAGGAAGAATAGCAAGGAGACAGTGTCGCTACATCATGGTGAGGAGGGGAGGCAGTGTCAGAGAGGTAGTGGGAAACCAGATCACAGAGGCTCTTGTAGGTCATTGTGATGACTGTCATTTTTACTTTGAGTGTGATGGAAAGATTTGAAGCAGTGAACAACATGATCTTGCTTATATTGTAATAGCATCACATTGGCTTCTGTATTGAGAACAGACAAAAGTGGAACAGAAGTAGAGACAGCGAGCTCATTTAGGAGGCTTTTGCAGCAACCAGGTGAAATGACAGTAATTTGAATCAGAATAGTTCTTGGGAAAGTTGTAAAGAAATGGAAGCCTTTTTTAAAAATTACACAACAGGATCTACCATTGGATGGGTTGTGGGTTTGGGCAAGGTTCATCCTGAGCAATAGCAGGATGAAGGGTCCTTGAGATGAGGGTGATTGTGACTGACTCATGTTTAAGGGAAGGATCAGGAATTCTTTTTTGGACATGTAAAATCTGAGAAGCCTGTTAACCACCCCAACTAGAGATGCCAAGTAGGCACTTGTACTTACAAGTCTGGAGTTCAGGGGAGACATCCATTTTGGAGATACAAATTTAGGAGTCAGCAGTATCCTGATGTAAAGTAATGAAACTGAATGGAACCACTGAGAGATTAAGCATCAATAGAAAAGAGCAGCAGTCCAAGGACTGTGCACTGGGCTCTTCAGTGCTTAACAGTGAGGGAGCTGAGAAGGAACCCCAAAAGGGAGTCCATGTGAGTCAGGCCAACGCTTTTTAGGAGCATTGATGTCTCATTGAGTTACAAGTTTTCTTTTCCATTTTAACTCCCTCCAATAATGCATACATAGTGAAGCTTTGTTTTAACACTACAACTTTATGCTAGCTGCTCTTGGGAGCAAAGAGAGTACTATGTCCATATTTTGGGTCAATACAAAGTGGAGAAAACTGGTACAGCATGGTCTGGTGATAATGAGGTAACCTGAAGAAATCGTGGAGAAGCCTTGAGTGTCTTCGAGCAGTATGCAGTAACCAGGATTGCAAGAAGTCTCAGGAACCCTCACAAATAGGGAGGGGGTTGCCGAGTTATTTTATTTGGGGACTTTAAAAAGTGGCTCAGAAGTCTGAAAAAATGAGCAACACTGTAATTTATTTATAAAGAAATACATTTTAGATAATTTTTTAAAGTGTCAGATCCATTTTAGTAGTACAAGAAGGAAAACTGCATAATTTTACTTGAGGGATTTGATGATAGAGTTTGGACAGGAGTACTGCCTTTTTGAATAAGCCCACCTGCCACCTCAGCGAGACCTCGGCTTCATCCTACTTAGGCTACAAGCATTTTCCGGAGGACACGTCAGCCTGCCCCAAGCCCACCCGTCCCCTGACCCGTCCCCTCAAAAGCCCGCCAAAAAACCCGGCCATAAAAAGCCTCTTAGCCTCTAAGAGACGCCGCCTTTGTTCTGCTCGCCAGGACCGAGGGTCCCTCTCAGGCTCAGCAATAAACCCGCTCGGACTGTGGCGTTCACGCCCCTTCTTTTCCTTAATCTGCTGGCGACACCCGGGAGCGGGGGCGAGAGCCTGGGCAGCGTGGGCAGCGGCAGCTCGTCGGGGCTGACCCCAGGGCCCGGGGCCTCCTGCGCCCCTCCCTGTTCGCCTTCCCTCCCTCACCAGCGCCCCTCAGGAGCGCCAGGCCCGCGACCATCTTGCCAGACCTCCTTCTACACACCCACCACCTGACCCATCGCCATTCCCACGAGGGGAAGATTCCGGCCTCACTGACTGTCCCCCGGTGCCCAGAGAAAGTCACCCTGCCGTCCCGTCTACCCTTTATCCCTTCCCTTCCTGCCCCTCCATTCGAAAACCCGGTACCCGAAGGGGGCCTCCGGCGCCCTCCCTGGGGGACGCTCCCTGTCCGCGTGCAGGACGGTCCCCTCCGGCTCCGGGAGCCCGCGGACTCCGGGTGGGAAGCCGATCGCAGGGGGGCGTCCCGGCGGCCTGCCTCCCAACCCCAGCCACCTTTTCTCGCCCTCCCGTGCTGGGCAATTCTCCCTCAAGAACATCGGGACGCCCTCCTCAGCCGCCCGCTCCTGCTCCCTTCCGCGTGGCCGCAGTTCAGACTCGGGAGAGGTCCCGCCGGCCGGCTGGGGCACTGCTGATTGCCGAGCTCCCCGAGGCCTTGACAGCCCCCTCCGGGGGCCCGGCGATCCCCACTCCCGGAGCGGCCCTCCCTCCGTTCCTCCCCCTCCTCCCTTCGGATCCTTCTCGCTGAGCATCACCTCCTCTATCTCCTCCCTCCCAACAGAGAGCCTCTGAAGTTCTCACCAAACAAGAACCCCCTGCGCCGCCCTGCCAGCACCCCCTCTGCTGACGAGCCCCACCCGGCCGACGACCCTCCCTCGTCCTCCTCCCCGGCGGCCCCAGCGGAGCCCAAACCCCTCCCGACCGTGCTCCCCTCCGCCGCCCCCTCTCCGACGTCCGCCAGCACGGGTGCCCCTTCTGGCCCGTCCCCGGCCTGCCCCCGGCCCCGGCCCGCTCTCGCCCCCTCCTTCCCACCCAGGACCTCCCCAGGCCGCTCCTCACCCTATCCCACCCCTCCGGGGGGCAGCAGGAGCTGAGGGGCCTGTTTGTGTTCACATCTCCTTTTCAGTTAATGACCTGCAGCATTTGAACAAAGATGGGGTCCTTCTCAGAAAATCCCGATAAATTCAGGAAAGAGTTCCTCCGTGTTACCTCACTTGGGGGGGGGGCAGTCACCTCATCCTCTCAGAGGGAATGTATTTGGCATATGGCTGAAAATCATGCTGACGAGTTGCACCACCAGCATCCTGCCAATCATGCACCGGCGGCTCGTGTGGTCCCCAGGGCGGAGCCCCAAATCCCCTAGTGGACATTCCAACTCAGGGACCCTGGTGGGGCAAGTCGTGATCACATGATCACTTGCCTCCTGGCAGGGATAGAAAGAAAGAAAAATAAACAGGTCAACTATGAGCGCCTCAGGGAAATTACCCAGGGGGCAGATGAAAACCCAGCCCTCTTCATGAACCGCCTTTCAGAGGCCAAGATCCAATACACAAACCCCAGCCCTAACTCCCCTGGGGGCCTTATCT